ATTTATAACCGAAATTTAATTTGAAATTCAAAACATCCGAATAATTCAAAATGTTTTATTCATCGTACAGCACCCGCTTCCCGATCATTGAGTGCAACTTTTAGGATTACTTTTAATCAGGACGAAGCAAATAACAAAAACAAAGTCTCCATGAATGATTTTATTCTGCAGGATTTTGTTTATTTATTTAGGAGATCCCTGGAAGGCGATGTTTCTCCTGAAAAAGAAAATGCTGGTTTTGACAAACATTTTTCCATTTAGAAAAATATATATATATTAAAAACTGAAATAAAATAGGATATAAAAATGTCCATGTAAGAAGGCGACCCACTTTCTTTTCTCATTATAATAGTTTTGCGATAATGGCTATTTATTTAGTCAATCAAAGCAACACTATTTTATTTTTATTTTTTTTTACCAAAAAGAGATCGATCCTGTACAAGGCCCAGGAGCCACTCGAGGTAGAGGGTTACACAGTTTATGCGGATATGTGAAGAAGATAAGGGTTAACTCTAGACTTGGACAGGTTAAAATTGTAGTAATCAGGAAAACATCCTCTTGGGAGTCAGTTCTACAGAGCAGTTGGTTCGTTGGAAGATGTTATAGTGGAACTTACATCACCCCATGGGAATACGGATAGAATGAGAAGGGGTTCGTCTAAGCACTTTCCATGGGAGTAACGATAGAGCAGTGAGAGTCTTGTTGCAAGGTGAAAAAAATTTATCACCTTCAAGGACGTAGAGACATTTTTGTAAGTTACAGAGACAGAACATTTGTACAGAGACTGAAAAGATTGAATTGGGCAGCTCCCGTCTTAATATGACATCAGTACTTGCGGTCTGCATTGAGTTTGAGGCCCAATAGTCGGAAAATGCCATTCATCGTGACTGGTGGTAATTCAGGGGCCAATCGGCGATGATGGAATGTAATATGTGACATTGTGTAGTTAAATTGTTTTTGACGTTGGAGAACAGATGATAGTCAATTTAGGAGAATAGAGAGCGTGATCAACCAGTTCATCTAAAAAGAATATAAGTAAAAAAACGCATGTTTACTATGGCAGCATAAAATTATGTACAAATATCTGTAGTTGGAGGAATTAAAACTGCGTACAAAAATATTTAGATTTCGGTATTAAATAACCCACTGATGTGTTGATATGTCGCTAAGCAAAATCAACCAGCATTATACTCATTCTTAGCCTTACACTTGCATTCTGATACAGTATAACAGGCAGTCTCGTCTCTCTCCTCACGCATTCTATCTAATGCTTAAGTGCTGACCTTATCAAGTCACCTTTACTCGTTTTTGTCCGCAATAGCTGATGTTGAGCTGCTATTTATAAACCTTTAGTTTCCTCCTTCAAATAACATTTTTCCGCTCCATGTTCGAGTTGCTTTCTTGTCGCTTATCTCTGTTGCTTTTCTTTCGAAAACGGGATGCAATTTCTTATCTATCAATTCGTTTTCCCCTTTTATAGTAAATTCAGTCTTTTTTTTTTCAGGCTCAGGGTTTCTACTAATTATTCTATCTATATTTTTACCTCGATGTTATTTCCAACATAGCAATACAGACTACATGTTTCAACCTGCATCATTTCCTCAACACAAACCAGGCCATTTCTAACTTGTTTTCTCTTCTAATAAAGTATATCCACCTCAGCCTGGGGATTTCATTGTTCTGCATATGGTCCTTATTATTACTTGATTTGAGATCCTATCTGACTGTTTGACCGGACGATGATGGTCATATCGCAGTTCCTACGACCGAAGCTCAGAGGCGCAACACATTCCTTAGAACATGAACTGTTCTAAGCAGTGTTACCACCTGCGCACTCCCAACGATGCCAAGTACCCCTAAGGTGTCCGGCGTAGCAGCAAGTCAAGAGTGAGCCAATCATAAAAGGGACAACTTGTGCTGCTGTTTGGTAAATTTATCTGATTTGCCCTCACAGGTCTTCTTCTTCTTCTTCTTATTATTATTATTATTATTATTATTAATATTATTATTGATATTCTTGTTTCTGTTTGATCTTCAAACAGAAGAATTGACTTGAAATGGAAACAGATAACTAGCTTTCTTTATGTAATGGACTGTAGTTTTCATCATGATTCAAAAGCCATTCTGGGTATGCGAGTTGTCCTAAAGAATCTGTAAATATCCTATCCTGATTGATAATCTACTTCAATATTCGAAACTTCAGTACTTCAATAAATTCCCCTTTCTCATTATTATTATTATTATTATTATTATTATTATTATTATTATTATTATCTGTGTCTGTTATGTTTCCTGCTTTGTATCCTGTAGAGCCGGGTCCAAACTATGGACCTTGGGCCCTATAGAAGAATTGTCATTTAATTGGTTGCACTTTCTTAGTATATAGGATGTTCCTAGTAGGGCGATCTTCTGGACAACTTGCATGTTGATGTTACCTGGGACATTGTTAGTAAAATTGTCCATTTCTTTTTCTCGTGAGGCTTCGAGTTTCGATTACTATTCGTACAGTCTCAGCCTTCCTTTCCCCACATCCTGTTAATCTCAATCTCCAGGTCCTTGTACTTGGACAATTTCTCGATAATTTTTATGGAGTTGTTTCTTTCAGAAGGTACAGCTATGTCAATGAGTATACACTTCCTGAATTTCTTGTCTTTTATGATAATATCAGGTCTGTTGGCTTTTATTTTCCTGTCAGTTATTATTATTTTTATTTTCTTTGATTTCTGGCGTTTACACATTTCTTTCCGTGTCCCGCCTAGGGACCTAAGGTTAGAAATGGCATCATGACACTTTCCACTGACAAAAAAAAAAAAAAAAATGACATAGATAAAGCCCTTCGTAAAGTGTGGGCTGTACTTGTCAGAACAATTTTTTGTATCTCCTTGAGGCATGGACTTCCAGGAATCCCTTCAATTAGTCTACTGCAATCTTTTCCAACCAGTCCTAGGGCTCCAACTACAACAGGGATTGTTGATGCTCCCATATGCCACATTTTCGAGATTTCTATTTCAATATCCTTGTATTTTGACAGCTTTTTGAATATCTTCAAAGATACATTGCAGTCAGCAGGGACTGCCATATCAACAAGGAGGTACCGTTTTTGTTTGTGATCTTTAATAATAATATCTGGGCGGTTGGCTTTGATTGTTCTGTCAGTGTGTATTGTGTAGTCCCATAGAATTGTAACAGGTCCTATCTCCGTAACCGGGTCTGGGTGGTGTCCATACCAGTTTCTTGCAGTTTCCTTCCCGTAAAAGTTTCAGATTTTCCAGAGCAGATATTGACTCACTCTGTCATGCCGAGTTTTATATTCGCTGGATGCCAATACTGCACAACCTGATACAAGATGGTCACTTGTTTCTGCATATTTATCACAGAATCTGCATTTTAGGATTAACATAAGCTTTCAGGATGTTTGCTTGGTAATTTCTAATTAGCAAGATTTCGTTCTGTGCAGAAAGATTTTAGACCATCATGATCATTATTATTAACAAAGAAAATGATTGATGTAACTCTTCCAATATTGTTCAACAACTAAGAGAAGAGCGCAATTTAAGAAAAGGGAAAACAGTGTTTAACAATGTTTAACAATGTTTCGACAGTATGTCTGTCTTCTTCAAATCTGAAAGCAAAACATACTATGGAAACAAAAACAGTGTCTTTTCTTTTTTTTTCTTTTCTTTTCTTAAATCGCGCTTCCTCTCTAAGTCGGCCATATCGCGTCGAAATCACCGAAGTTAAACAACGTCGAACATGGTCTGTAAGTAGATGAGTAACAGATTAGGAATACAAAGTGCTGTAAAATTAGATGTGCCGGTGGTGTAATGGATAATGGCTCGTAATTGTTAATCGGAGAACAGAGTTCTAATTCCAGTTGGGTTCATTATGTTTACGTAGGTGAAAATATCCTTAGAAATGATATGGATGTATATCTTCTCCAAATTAATTAGTAAGGCCTGAATCACTAAACCATTATTACCTCTCCCCTCCACAAAAAATCTTACAATCTAAAAATATTTTCTGGCTTTAAATAACATGTAAAGGGCTGATGAATCGTAAAAAACAAACAAATCAATCTAAATACATTATTATTATTATTATTATTATTTAAATCATGTTTCTTCGTTTAAATTAGAAGTTTTCATTAATTTACAGTTGCACTGGTTCGATGTAACCGTAAGGTCTGTACTTACAGTTTCATTTCTCGTACTTCTCGCTTGTGGAACTCCCTTCCTGTTCCATGTTTCCAACCAACTTTGGTCTTCAAAAATTTAAATAAAAAAAAAAAAATCTTCCTAATTACTTTCCTATTGTTTTCGCTGATAATAATGTTTCTGTTTTCGAATTTTTTCACACTCAGAATCCCCTTACGTATCAATGACTTTACTGCTTTCTGTGAATTTGATTTTTTTTTAATTCATATTTTTATGCTCATCGTACATGTAAACAAATCAGAATTATTCCAAGGAGTAAAATTTTAAACGAGGTGTTGGTGTCGACAAAATTCGTGAATAGTTCGTACAGTCTAAGGATCTTGACAAATTATTCGTAGTTTCTCGTTAAAGTCAACTCCAATATATTTTAAACACCAATCATTGGTTGATTACTTCGCAGGTATTCAAATCAGGAGGCTCATTAGCATTCAATTAGGTCAGACCAGAAATAGCATTGAATGACTGATTAATCGTTATCAACGGCGAAACTTTTCCGGTTGTAGCCGCGGAAACGAGGCTGCGTTATTCAAAACTGAACGGCAACAACAACAATAGCAACAGCATAATCAAGTGTAACTGTCGGCCATTTTTGTTTCTCATGACTTGCTGTATTTTGCATCATTTTTGCTTACTCTTGTTAATTATCGTTCACAAGCGAATATCGATTACCAATTACAATTATCAGTTTTCATTAAAGAAAAAAAAAAGAAGTTCCACGCTGCCATTTTGACGATATATGAACCTATACGATATGATTCAGTAGCGAAACCGAAAATTGAATTAAGAATGGTTTTAGATGTGATGCCACGTGCCTTGTTGACGGCAATCTTCTTCTTCTTCTTCTTCTTCTTCTTCTTCTTCTTCTTCTTCTTCTTCTTCGTCATTATCATCTTCTTCTTCTTCTTCTTCTTCTTCTTCTTCTTCTATGTGCCGTGTTCTTTCAAGACGTACATGATCATGGCTCTCCCCAAATTTCTATCCTTCGTGGCTCTGAGAAATGTCTGTCTTTTTACGTTTCCTCCAATCCTCTCTTCTGTCATCCATTTAAACAAAGTTGTTACGTAACTCGCTGCTTTTCCCTGTCTCTCTCACGCTTTCGATATGTCTTGTGAGTGTCAAATTTTCCAGGCCTTCATTTCTCATTATGTATCCCAGAAATCTCAATTACCTCCTCTTTCTGGGTTTTTTTTTGTATAATTGTTCTTTTCCTTTCTATTTTCTTTAAAACTTTCTCCGTGCCCATATTTTCTCTGTCGATGGTATTCTCAGAATTCTTCTGCTGTCTCAAGTATTCTCTTCATCCACTACCACATATGCTTCAAGACCAAAACATCAACCCGAAAACACGAGTCATCTTCTTAAATAACCTCCTCAAATCGAGACTTTCATATGGATGCCTCCATGGCGACAAACCCGTTCAGAAATATCTAAACTGTCAGTTGTATACAACCGCTTCCTAAAATCAATAGTGTGAAAAGGGTTTGAGCGAGTAATGCCTGAGATTTTTTTTTTTAATGTCAAAGATCATCCTTTTTTCAAAATTGTGCACTGGGGCTACAGAATCACAAACAAATAACATAAACAAAATCACTTGAAGACTACCAACAACAGAAACAACTAAAATGGATAGCACCTTGTTGTAGAGTAGTTTTCACAGTGGAGGCTTGTATTTCACTAAGTCTGTCCTAAAAGAGTCCGACGTACAAAACGTTAGGAACTTGTAATAAGAGTTAATGACGCAGCAATTTAGTTGTGATGGTTGATACTTCAATGTCCGACATCAACTGACTCACTCAACACCACTGAGCCCAACTGGCGACCGCTACTACTACTTATTATGTGTGGGAGAGTCTATTAATAATAGAATAGGTACGTCAGGTATAACACACCTGTAAATCGAAGAGAAAATACATGACATGATCAAGATGTTGACATTCCACACTTCTTCAAACAAAAGATTAGGAAGGAAACCGCCATCAATACTGGAAAGAGCGACAAAAGCTATTGGACATGAAAATCCTGTTTTCCTAGAATATTGATTTCACAGAAGCAGGCTCCTCGGCCAAGGAAAGCCAAATGTTTCCTTATAGAGAAACGGCTAATATTGGCATTACCATGCTGTAAAATATGATGTCATATTTCAAGTTCTTTGTTACTGTTACTGCTAGTCGTTTTTAATAGATTCTTCCAGTTATTATTATTGTGCTCTGTTCTTTTTTGAAAGCGGTCTTTTCACCTTCCGGCTTCGTAAATATCTTATAACAGTCCGTCATTTTTATAACAAAGAGATTACCACCAGGCGTTACTAGTTCAAGGAAGATAACACTTACAGCAAAATGTTCAAGAAATTCTAGACAAAAAAAAATGTAAATTTATCTAACACTAAATGCATAATGACAGCTCTTAAAAAATAATAATAAAATTAATTAACTTATTGCAAGATATCTCATTATCCGAGATTTCATATCAGCACTCTAGATCCTTAGCCACCAGTCCACTGCTCTACATTCCCAACAGATCGGCTTTCTTCACAAGTGTGAGTTTATATGTTTTTATTTTTGTTATTTTAAACCAAGATTTTCTTGCAATTATTTTATGCAGTGTTCTTTTCGCTCGCTATATTTTCTGGATATTGTACCGGAATTATTTTTTTAATGAAAGAAAATGAATGACCCGTAATAATAAAACATAATTCGTTTTTAGTGTAGCCGGATTGGGAAGGAAGAACCTTTATCTTTGATATTAATGCTTTTACTGTAAGATGTAAGAAATTGATGTGAAAGAAAAATGCATTAACAAGTGTTGTAAAGGAGAAACAAAAATGGCGGGTAATAATGGAAGAAAGATGTTAGAAACGCAAAAACGAAACAAAGAACAATAAAGAAAGAAAGAAAGAAAGAAAGAAAGAAAGAAAGGCCCACAGACAGACAGACAGAAATGAAATGAAAGGAGAGAATAACAAAGAAACTTGCTAAAACGGTTAACGAATAGATAGGTTTATTGTCTTTTTTGGAAATGCTTAACTAAATTTTCTTTCATTAGTTTTGTCTTTGATTCCTTCAGTTATGAAACCATTTGCCGGATGTTCCACAAAATTTGTCCACTTACAGGGCGGAAACACGGATTTTTTTTTTGTTCTTTTTCGAGAAGCAACCAGAAAAAAATCATTTGAATTAACATTATTAATCATTGATGAATAACGAATGAAACTTTTCAGATGACATCGAAATTTTCTGAAAGACTGCACCTTAGGTTTTTTCATTGCTGGAATCAGTAATTTTCTACTTTTCTTTTCTTTTTTTTTTTCTTCTTTAATCAGTTCAAATCTATCTATCTATCTATCTATCTATCTATCTTGTTAAATTCAACACGGAGGCTTACATCAAGTGATTTGAAGAGGTACTGCTGCCCTGGGTCAAGAAGATGGCTCTCAGTCTATTCATTCTCTCTCTCTCTCTCTCTCTCTATATATATATATATATATATATATATATATATATATCATTCTATTCGTTATCTATCTCTCTATCTGTTTATCATCTGTTCATTTTTTATAGAACCTCTTTATCTCTCTTCATATTCTCTAATGTCTTTCCTATCTATCTATCTATCTATCTATCTATCTATCTATCTATCTATTTATCTATCTATCTATCTATCTTGGGCACCTCGAAGCGGTGTAATGGCAGACAAGTTTGTCCCGCTATAACAATTCCGACTGAGTAGTGAATTCGATCCTCACTAGGTGCCCCTACTTTCTGCCTTGTGCTACATCTAAGCTACGCTTGGAAAATCACTATCTATCTATCTATCTATCTATCTATCTATCGTTATTCATTTCACAGGCAAAGCGAAATTACCACTAAGACGCAACGGGTTACTGGGAGTCAAAGAGAATGAGAAAAATTTAGTGATTAGAAAGGACAAGAAAAATAAAAGAACGGGTTTTAAGGAAGGTAGAATATGGTTGTTTTGATGATCGTATGTGTCAAAGAAGCAAGAAACGGGAAGAGAGTTCCACAGGAAAGAAATGCGATAAAAGACATTATTAGAAGAGAATCTACGTTTAACTCCTCCTAGTTCAGCAGTAAAACGATGAGACCTACTTGCCAATCTAGTAATACGCATGAATTCAAGCAGTCAGAAGGAGGAGAGCTCATTAGAATAATTGTCATGAAAATAATTTTAGAAAAATCAGAAGGAAGATCAGTGACGACGGTGGGAAAATGTCTGAATAATCCATAGACAGACTGTTTCACTGTATCACAGCTCTACAGCGCGGCTAAACGACCAATTGCCTCAAGCCGGGATCGAAACCCAAACGATTTGGTATCGGTCAGAGATTCTACTCGTTATATATATACATATATATATATATATATATATATATATATATATATATATATATATATATATATATATATATATATATATATATATACACATACAGACCGATTGTTTCGTTGTATCACAGCTCATAAGTGTGGCTAGACGTCTGGTTGCCTCTAGCTGGGATGGATCAACACCCGGCTGAAAAATGGCGTCAGTGGGAGATTCTACCCTTAAGCCGTTGCCGCACGACATGGATGAAGGTGAATTTAAGCGTATCGAGAGAACTCGATTTGCTTTTACCGAAGAGTCTTGCATTATTAGCAGTAATAGTCACTGTTTACAAACTCACACTTTCTACCCAGAGAACACAACCAAAATAATTATATATATATATATATATATATATATATATATATATACAATAGATAGACTGTATGTATGTATGTGTGTATGTATATATATATATATATATATATATATATATATATATATAGTCTGTTATCTATCTATATATATCTATATCAATATATCTATATCAATATATATATATATATATATATATATATATATATATATAAAATTATTACGTTAATGACTGGAAACTCGAGGATACTCAATATTTGGGCTGGTAGCAAATTCTAATTGCAGACACTTGCTCAGGTGCATTTTTGTTTGTGTTTCCAACACCCACAGAGCCCAACTGTGGTTTATACTGCAACTATGCTGAACAGACCTTTCATACAGTTTCTGTGAGAGAAGCGTGTTATCTAACGTGATCAACAATTTGAACGAGGTCAGCACGCTCAGATCCTAGGTCACAATAACTTGTGACTTAGTACTAGCACAGCCATATATATATATATATATATATATATATATATATATATATATATATATATATATATATAACGTATCAGATATTGAGTGGTGATGCTAATGAAACATTGCCCGAACTATAATACCAGAGCTAAAAATTATAATAATAAATTTACTTTTTTACTCGCCGGTAGCACAATTGAGACATTTATGCACAATACTATAGTCAGGTATTGTCCACTTATTTTTAATAGTATTCTCTTGTAATTACGGACAAGTTTCTTAGTATCCTTATTAAAGGAAAAAAGAAAATAAACATGTTGATAAACATTTATTTTTTCCAAGTATTTTGGGCATTCATTGGTACAATGTCGCCATCAGGGTGTTGTTTTTTCTCAGACAAAAACTTTTCTGTTATCAACTCCAAAAGCAATTAAAAAATAATTATGTCCGTAAATTTCCATGCGAACTTAATAATTGTAATAAATTTTTGTAGATATATAAATAAACACTAATAATAATAAATTCACTATCTCCTCATATAAAATAGATACAAGCATAAATTCGTGCACTCTTAACTATAAGAGTGAATGTACAAATTACTATAAAATAACTATGATAAAAAACTAATAAAACGTGCAAAAATTAATCAATTCGCAAAACAGATTTTCTACAGTGAATTAAATATATAAAACAAACTCTTATTAAAAATAACTTCCCTAATTATATTGTCGATGAAGCAATATGATGTTATTTTAGAAATTTTAATATAAAGCAAATAGAATATAATACTTCAATTAACCCTAAACATATTAATCTTTTATATTGCAATCAAATACATTCTAATTATAAAGAGGACGAAAATATACTAAAAATACTAATAAATACTAATATATCCACCACAGATCCTAGTAAAAGAATAAAATTAATTATATGCTATACTAAATTCAATATATGCAACTTAATTATTCGTAATGACTCCTTCCCACCAACATTTTGCAGAAAAACAACATCATATATAAATTTAGATATATTTTGTGAGATTGTATCTCCAACAGAAAAAATAATATATATTTTGTTCATATCACTACTACCTTGTCTTGAAGGCTGAGTTTTCATTACAATGATGCATCTAACATCTCTCAACTTTTACAGTAGGATACTTGTCCACATTCGCTATTCCATGAAAATAACAGACATAAACTAAAAATTCTTGAAGCTATCTATATTAAAAACTGAAACCAACTCTTAATAAAACTAATTATGAATACTGCACAAATATTTTTTTTCCCTTTTTAAAAATATTTAGATATTACAATAACTTGGTTACCTTTCTTGATGTTTGGATATGATAACATTTAAAAAAAAAATCATACAGTACATACTCTAAGCGTTTTTCACTTCAAAAGTAAAAGTTTAATATTCAAATGAACACAATTTTGTTTTTGTCTGAAGAACACAACTATTTTTTGTCTTAGAAAAAACAAGACCCTGGTGTGCTAATGACATTGTGCTAATGTCTAAAGTACTCAGAATAAAATGAATATGCTTCAACATGGTAATTATCGTTCTTTCTTTAAGAAGGATACTAAGAAACTTAGCCGTAATTACAAGAGTTAGAAAACAGTTAGAAATAAATAGACAAAACTTGTCTAAGTTATCTCTTGAGACATGTCTTAATGAAAACATACTGCCAAAATATACGCAATATGTGTGTGTGTGTGGGGGCGTGCGTATGTGTGTGTGTGCGTGTGTGTTGTGTAGAAAGACTGACAACACCTTTCTACACTTATTGAAACATGGACTCGTCTATCCGCTATGAGTAGAACATGGAACATGGGCAAAAAGAAGGTCGCAATGGCGTAGCGCATTTCACTCGTGAGCTTGTCGCACTGAACTATTGTATTCTCAATGAATGTTCTCATGTGATTAAACCCTTCTCACTCAAACTTTTGTTTCCTTGCAGTCTTACTAACCAGCAACTATGAAAGTTATACGAACTTTATAACAATATATACATATATAGAATTTAAATATATAAATATATGTATATCCGTGTGCATCTTTTCTCTCAGTATTTCCACATCTTTAACTTTTTCGTGACTTATTTGTCTCTTTTCCCGCGCTATGACTCGTTCCTTCCTCTTTTCTTTCGTTTTGTGTTTGGTTACCATGTTACAAGGATCTTTTCCTTTCTGATTTTACCATTTCATCTCCTTGCTTTTCATTTTGCCTTTGCTGCGTTTTCAAAGATGTCTTTTTTTTTTTTTCCTTTATTTGTGCTTTCCTTCTCTAACGTCATTTTCTTTGACATTAATGGAACAATAGATTTATTCGCGACATATTCATCTTTTGCCCGCATATATGTCGTGTTCTCACTGTGTGGGGCCAAGGGATTTAGAATAGCAAAAGGTCGATACAGTACCTTTTACTTAATCCCCATTTCCTGGCCTTCGCTTCTTTTAGATCATTTTTTTTTTTGAGGTAGGTGGTGGGGGGGCTCCAATTAGGTTTTTACATATTTCTCGTTTTTATTTTATCTTTCGTTACTGGCTCTTTTTTTTTCTTTTCATTTTTTTTCTCTTTTTTTGCTTTTCTTATTTTAATTTATTTCTTTTGTCTTGTTTCTATCGATTTTAATTCATTTCTCACAAAATTTATTCTTTCTTTTTCTTCTTTTTTCTTTATTAATATCGCTTTCTATTCATCTTCTCGCTCTTGTTTTTTCTTTCTTTCTTTCTTTCTTTATTTCTTTCTTTCTTTCTTTCTTTCTTTCTTTCTTATCCATCTTTTTTTCCTTCCTTTTTGTTCCGCCTATCTTTCTTCATTTTGATCTTTCTTTCTTTCTTTCTCCATTGATTCATTTTTTTATTTCCCATTTTGTTTTTTCTTTATTTTTCTTCCTTCCTTACTTGCTTCCTTACTTTTTCCTTATCACTTGTATTCCTTCATTCATTCAATCATTCTTTGTTTTCTATTTCATTCATTCTTTCTTTCTTTCTTTCTTTCTTTCTTTCTCCCGTCTCTGTTTTATTCCTCTTCTCCTTCCTTCCTTCATTTGTTTTCTATTTAATCAATTCCATTCATTCTTTGTTTCATATTTTATTCTTTCCTTCCTTCCTGTTTTTTGCTTGTTCCTTTTATTCACTCATTTCTTTGTTTTTATTTATTAATCTTCTTCTCTTTCTTTTTTCTTTCATTTTTCTAACTTTTCTATTTCATTCATTCATCACTTGTTTTATATTCTATTTTTATTTCTTCTTTCCTTCCTGCCTTCCTTCCTTCACTGTTTTATTCCTTCTTCTTTTCTTTATTTTGTCCTTTCTGTTATATTTACGTTCTTTTTTCTTCTTTTCTTGTTTGTTTGCCTTCTTGTCTCTTTTATACTTTAATTCTTTTCTTCATTCATCATTTTTCAGTTTTAATCATTACTTGTGTTTTTTCTTCATTTTTGTTTCTTCCAACATTTCTTCATTTTCTTTCTTTCTTTCTTTGATTCAGGTATTCTTTCTATCTTTCTTTCTGTCTTTCTGTCTTTCTTTCTTTCTTTTATTTAGGTATTCTTTCTTTTTTGTTTCTTTCTTTCCTTCATTTTCTTTTCTATCTTTTTCCTCTTTCTCATTTTATTCTTCTTTTACTTTAATGATTTTTACGGTCTTTGTTTTTTAACACATAACTTTCTTTTTCCTTCTCTGTCTTCCTTCAACTTATTTCCTTCTATAATGTTTTCTTTCTCATCTTTATGCAATTCCCTTTATTCCACTCATCTTCCAAAACTCACTCTCTCTTTCTCTCTCTCTTTTCAATTCTGTATGTATTCGTCTTCCTGTTTGTTCTTCTTACTTCATCCTTTCCATCTTTATATGCATACAGTTTTTTTTAATCACCTCTTCTTTACCGCAGTTCTTGCCTCATTATCTGAATTATTGATCTATCGATGCAAAGTTTCCTTCAGAATATATAACGAAGATCTCCCATTCACCGTGTGTATTATTGCAATAATTTCCTTCTACTTGGAATACATGGCTACAGATAAGCATCATCTCTTCTCAACATTCCTCATAAAATACGCACCAATCATGCCAGATTGAAATTTAAGAGCACATTTTATTAAATGTGCGAACAAGTTGAGCAATGATGTCGGCCAAACTAAAATGGCGAGAACGTAAGATCGATCCACAATTACAGCTCACATGGGAACTGAACATCGAAGCACAGCCAATGTCATATCTAATTTGCCAGCGCCTCTGCTACACTGAATATTAGGAAAATAAAATAAAGAAAAAACTGGGGGTCAAAATTTGTTCGAAATATAATTGGGAAAAATGAGCAGTCAATTTAATAAAACAGTATGATAATTTAGTTTTTAGATTTAAACTTACTACTATTTCTCTATTCTAATATATATATATATATATATATATATATATATATATATATATATATATATGTGTGTGTGTGTGTGTGTATGCACACACACACATATATATATATATATATTGAATAGATATATCCAGTGTAGTTTTGTACACCCGCCTACTACCATAAACATAAGCAAGATACATGTTTTATATTATATATATATATATATATATATATATATATATATATATATATATATATATATATATATATATATATATATATATATAATATACAATTTTCGTTAAATGCAATTGACAAAGTACTGCGATTAAGCATTTTATCTAATTTTTCTTGTGCTTGTGCAACTGTTTCTTTTTCTTATCCAGATGTAAAAAAAAGTAATTAAACCACTAATAAGATGGAAAACAAATAGCGAATGACACTCTGAACACGGCCACAATGTGCTGACCGTGTTTGGAAAATAAAAGATTCCTATAACTTTACACACATACATATTAACACATTCACTTAAAAATAAAAATTGTCCATGACAATGGCTAAACGAATAGCCGAAATCGCTCTGAAAAACAGAATATTTGGACAGTTTTTACACACTTTCTGTTCAGTAAAGAAAACACTTTTACCAACATAAAAACAATTAAATAAAAAGCTTAATCACACTACCTTGTCAATAGTCTTCAACGAAACACACACACACACATACACATATATATATATATATATAGTGAAATCAACCTTTCTTTGATGCATGTTTCGTTAATTTTTTTCTTGTGATGTTACAAGTTTTAATTTTTGAGGAGTGAGTGGGTGTATGAAATTGACCATAGTTTTGGTTTTTTGGAGATCATTCGGTTAATAACTTAACCTTGGTGAACGGGCGGTTAATTTTCCCGGTAACGAGTATTTTGAATATATTTTTGTCTTGTTTTCTATACCATGCATTAGTAATACATCGTATTACCGTGTATTAGTAATACCGTGTATTTGTATTAGTAAGGATACATGTACTCGAAAAAAAAAATAATAATAAAATCGCAAGATATTCATATTTAAGTCATATTAATAAAACATACAAAGCAGAAGCAGTTCTACCAAAATATGTCAAAATGGCTACAATTCAAAGAAAAGAGGAAAAAAGAAAAACAGAAAAGGTTAAGGAGTGCGTGTAAAGTTAAAAAAAAACGACGAAAAGACAAATAACTACGACATTCTACGCGTAGACGTAGAACGAGGACACGCGAGTGAACGCACACACGCATGTGCGCACATACATTTGGAAACAAAAAAACAAAAAAACATGCACCCATGAAAAGCGTGTATAAAAAATAAAAATAAAAACCGAGAAACATAAGCAGCCAATTGCTGATAGCCCTGACGAGTGGAAGGAGTGATTCCCAAAGTGTCCGTCTACGAAACTCTGGAGTCGGGATGGTGAAGGTAGCATCAATCAGCTAAGAGACGGACAAACCTTTTACTTGCAGTAATCATATACACACACAAACATACACACACATAATATATATATATATATATATATATATATATATATATATATATATAGTCTGTTTCAGGTGGCCTGACGATTGCATCTAGCATGAGACAGACTGTCGCCTCTTAGTGTTGACTTCTGTGTTCACTTTTTATATTTACATACGTTCTATCTCTGATATTGAGGACTTTATCCCACAAATATAGCGCATCTTAAGACTATATTTCTTCATATATATATATATATATATATATATTAAGCGTTTCTTCCCAAGTAATGCGGGAAGCCACTAGGACGCAAGGGGTTACAGAAGATTTGGAGCAAGATCAGATAGGAGTGATAGAGGAAAGGATGAGGAGAAGGATAGTGGATCGATCAAGGTAACTGGAGGTGTCGATTGACATTACATTTGAATAGTTGGAGATTATAGCTCTCAGGGAAACTGGAATAGGAAAGGGAGTTCCATAGGCGAGAGGTGCGAGACATGAAGCTATTATAGTAGAAGAGACGGCTACATTTAATAGTTTCGACAGTGAAAGGGTGAGAGCGGGATGCCAGCCTCGTAGGGCGCTTGAATTCATGAAATCTGGGAACGAGCGAATGCAGCTCCTCGGAGCAATTACCATGAAAGTATTTGTAAAAAGACAGAGAGAGAGGCGATGGCGCGTCTGTGAGAGAGCGACTGTAGACGAGATGCCAGAACAGGTCCAATTATATTGTATATCCGCATCTGGATCTTATCAAGAACCCCGAGGCAAACAGAAGGGGGCTCCAGACTATATATATATATATATATATATATATATATATATATATATATATATATATATATATATATATTGTAAAGTAGTTTTCACAGTGGGGGCTTGTACTTCACTAAGTCGGTCCTAAAAAGGTTCGACGTACAAAACGTTAGGAACTTGAAATAAGAGTTAATGACGCAGCAATCTAGTTGTGGGGCTCATACTTTAATGTCCGACATCGACTTACTTACTCAGCTTACTGAGCTCCACTGACGACCTCTACTACTACTTATTATGTGTGGGAGAGTCTATTAATAATAGAATAGGTACGTTCAGGTATAACAATGTGTATGTTTCTTTATATATATATATAATTGAGTTCCTTCTAATGCATGTATATGTATATGTATATATGCATATGTATGGTTTAATGATTACATAAAGCGAAAAACTGACAGTTATTATGCAGTTTTGATATATATCTCCACATTATTTATATATACAAAAGTATATATATTGTTGTAGCATTCCGACGGACGATAATGGTTATGTCTCCATTCACATAAATAAATTAATAAATACTGTATGTTGGTCTGCAGTTCATTGTGGAATTCACTTGACTCGTTTCTAGCAGTTGACTACTACTTCTACGCGCCGCTTGCGAATCTTATATGAGTTGTTCTTGTCCTAAGTATTATCGTTCATTACCAACATTCGTGTGATTATTCTATTCAGTAAACTCTCCTAGGTTACAACACACACACACACACACACACGCATATATATATATATATATATATATATACTGATGTGTGTAGATTTATATACCTATGTCATAAACATATATATGCGCATATATATATAATGTGTGTGTGTGTTTGTAATGCATCTTGCTGTGACTTATAATTAGGTGGCAAAAGAAGTGTCCAAAACTCAGCAGGATTGATATATGAATCTTGAAATGTTGAGTGTGAAGCCGCAGCCATAATCGTAATGAAAGTAAGAGTCACGTTGCCGCCATGATTTGGCAGAGAAACCATCGCAGCGTAGCAATGGTTGTTGGGAATTATAAATCTGCTATGTTTTGTTAGCCAAGAATGGCAGATTTAGCCGTGGAAATGAACTCCATTATATGCAGCCAGGGCGCGATTTCCTATATTAGAATTCATGAATTGCACTTCGACTGTACTATTTTATTTTCACTATTTAACACGG